GAAGGGGGGGGGGGCACAGATGACACATCGGGGGGTGGGGGAGCACATGCCCCCCCAAGATTTCTGCATCCACAGCAGGGCAGGGAGCTACAGCCAGGCTGGACCAGCCCCGGGCAGGCGCTGCCTCCACGGCCCAGCAGATGAGACCTGGAACAGGAGGGAGCGCCATGCTGCCATGGCTGCCAAGCTGAAGTGCTCCCTGCCCACCCAGCAGCAGCAGCAGGGCACAACTCTGCACTGCCACTACGCCTCACCTTGGCAGCCATGTCAGTGTGGTGCTCCTGCACACACTAGGTCCCACCAGCTGGGCTATGGAGGCAGCTTCTGCTCAGAGCTGGTCCAATCCGGCTACAGCCCTGTGCCCCTCTGTGGGTGCAGAAATCTTGGGGGGCATGTGCCCCCCCCCATATCACCTTGGGCCCTCTTCCCTTCTCCGCTGCATCGCCTGTGCACTCCAGCTGCATTGCCTGGGTCCCCTCCCCTCATTCCCATAGACTTACCTGGAGGGAGTTGCAGGAGCTACTCTCCACCAGTGCTTGGCTGGCACACGTATGTGCATATGCACACACATCTGGTGCCTCCTGCCTCCAATTGCCCTCCCTACTCCCCCCAGCCCCAAGCAGCCCCTTCCAGGCTGGAGCTCTGCCAGCATGCAAAGGGAAACATGCGGTTTCCTAAGCTTTTCACCATTAAAAGAGAAAATCTGCATTTTTCCTCAGTGAATGGAAAACTCAGATCCCTGGCCTCAGTCATTGTGCCTAAGAAATATTACATAATTTTCCTCAGGTTTGGGCTGACAGTCCTCTTCCTGGGTGGGGCCAGGGCCCTTGGGCCCCCAAGTACTTGGTGCCTATGCAAGGATGAATGTTTAAATAGGAATTGTATCGTCCATTTTTACAAGCACTAAAAATTTCAACCAAGTATCTTATTACCACATTGCTCCATATATTTTGGAGAAATTTTCCTGGAAATATCAACAAAATACTTCATTTATAGTCAAGGTTTAAAGGCTGAAATTGCAATTACCAACACCAGGTTAATGTCCGTCCTGGACTACAACCATGGATGTGGGGGTAGGGTAGGAGGTCATGGGCCTCGGTTTTGGCTGTTAAATTACAACACCTCCTGATATTTATAGAATTTACATCCCCAGCATCAATGTAATCTTGTTAATATAATAATATGAGTGACTAAAGATAATATACAGTCAAGCAGAACTCCCAAATTTGTATTAATAAATACTGGTTCTTAGTCCCAACCAACAAACCCTCCACCATCTCTGTAATAACTGATCCATAGATCTCACCCATTCAAAATGAAATATCAAGCTCATATAACTGGAGAGGGCCAGAAAACAAATACAGATCTTATTATCATCAAAGCAGATATGATTATTAAAACCATAAAATTCAGGTGTCCTGTGCTATTTAATCAGAGTCCTATGACATAGTAACACAGTACAAATAATAAATAATCCATAGTTCAGCTTCAAATATTTGCTGTCTGTAGAAAGAATAGAGCTATATTCAAATTATCATGATACTACCTTACAAACCATTACAAAAGTTCTATTGAGTTATGTGTCACTTGTTGAAAGGAAAACAAAAATTTTTAAGTTAAATTTGCACTGATCCTCTTCTCTGGTGCAAGCACCTTTGAGAAGTGAGACTGGAGAGGGAAAAGTTAATCCTGATTGAGGCCTTTAGACCTCCCTGCAAAACAAACCAAAAACTGTTTAATATTGTGCACTTGTAGTATCCAAAGATTATAGTGATCCTGACTTTGAATAAACAGAGAGCTGGTTCTTTGCCATAACAATCTTTCAATCTAAAAATCTTAATAACCTTATGCTTTCCTTTCTGTTCCTTTCTAATACAGCATGCATGAATAGTCTCCTAAAGAATCTTTTGGCAAGGGATTTTATATGTAAAGGAGAAACTAAGAATACATGATTCAGAAGGATAAACAATTTTAGAATGGGGTTAGCATTTTGATGCAGCAGGGTCACCACTTTCAGAACACAGATAGCTACAGGTGAAATACTAGTGACCAGATTTCAAATAGCTGACATCCTGCTAAAAGGCATGAGACATACCTCAGTCATGAAATGAAATGCCTACTACAGCACAGAAGGCATACAAAAAACTAGAACTCTTGGTTCCAAAATGATACCTTTTATTAGAACAACTGGGAAATTGCTAATTTTTATTAGACCAAGCAGCCCAGCCCTGCTCTACCCCCAGCCATTTCCCTGCCTTCCTGCCCCTGCACTGCTCCAGCATCACGTGGACCCGGGCTGCATCATCGGACTGGGGAACGTGTACCACACCAGTACCCCCAGGACAGGAGTGGGAGGGGTGTGTGTTTAGGCAGGGACAGAGTGGGTGTGTGTGTACATGTATAGGCAGGGGCAAAGGGTGCACGTGTGTGTGCAGGCAGCAACAGAGTGTGTGTGTGTGTGTGTGCGTGTGTGTGTGTGTGTGTGTGTTCATAGGGTAAGTCCCACATGCACACCTCACCATACACATGCACCCACACCCCACCTTGCACTGCCATACACACAGACCCCCCCAGCCACCCTCCCCGACCCACATCCCCCACAAATCCCATACCCACCCACACCCCACATATCCACACACGCTCCTTCACCCCACACCTATCCACCCCCAGAGACACACCCATGCCCTTCCCCACACCCTATATACCCACACACCCACAACCCACCACAAACCTATACCCACCCCCCAGAACATACAAGAGTAAGACTTCATTTTAAGCCATTGTGCAATCACTTCCATGTACAGTACACAAACGTGTGTAAATCAAGACAAAAATATTTTTTGAAATCAAATTAATGAATGTTATAGATGTTTTCTTTTAGAATATAATTTGGTATTTTTCTGGTTCTGAGATGGGAAAACTCGTTGCTGAAAGGAGTACTTCCAGGGGCAGGGGGAAGGACTTCTGGTGGCAAAGGTCAGGGGTTAGGGGGTGGGACTTCCAGATACAAGATGGTGACCAGGGGGCAGGGCACCTGTCAAGGGGCAGGGCTACCCATGTGGCCCTAGACAGCTTTCCCAAACTCGGGAAATGGCCCTCCGCCCAAAATAATTGCCCACCCCTGGATTAGAATATAGTCATATACCGCATACAATCAAAGGTCCCTCTAGGATAAACCATTACTGGAAAGGACTTTACATGTCTTGATACTTATAAAGAATTTTGCCCTTTCAGACCATATGCCCAACTGCTGTATTGAGTTACATTATTCTTTTTAGTTTGCTCTTTTGTATCCAAGATGAAATGATCTTTAGACAATCATTTTGAGTATTTCCAGTAATCAATAGAGATGGGCTTATCTGATTGCCCTAACAAAAAACTTGTTTTCGTAGTCAAAAACACTTTTTGAACACTTCAGTTACTGTGCTAGCTTAAAAAGAAGAGAATATTTTTTATGGAAGTAATGGTAATACTATACTTCTTTCCCATCCAGACCATTTTCACATGACAAATATTTGCCAGCAAAAAGGGCCAACAACTTTGTAATTAGGTACTACACT